ACGTTATCTTCCAGATGTTTATTTTATGCAACACACACACACACACACACACACACACACACACACACACACACACACACACACACACACACACACACACATATATATATAAGTAATTCATCAGTCTTAATTATCTCAAATCCTCCTTAATTTCTATCATATATATATATATATATATATATTTATATATATATATATATATATATATATATATATATATATATATATATATATATATATATTACAGAAAAAAAAAAAGTACCTCAACATCGGAATAGACTATTTCAAACCGTTCTTCAACGGCTTTCGTCAGCCTCTTTTTTTTGCTGCAAAAAATACATATGTTCTGTTAAAAACATCGAGCTCTCTGTAGATCAGCTTTAATAATTAATATTACTAGGATCCACCCGGATTATATACCAATGGATCGATTACCTGCACTATATATATATATATATATATATATATATATATATATATATATATTATTGAATAAACACGTATTTCGAACATTACCCAGAGATATTTGAGATCAAAGTTTAGGATTCAATAACGTGTCAGTCTCATATTGATTGATCCGACATCGCGTGTGCGGTGGCTACGCACGCACACACACACACACACACACACACACACACACACACACACACACACACACACACACATCTCACTTTCTTTCTTTCTCTCTTTCCGTATCTTCAAATGTTGGGATAATTTGAACAGCATGTGTGAACAGAATGCAGTATGGACATTCGAAACTCATCTCTCTGAGCAGTACCATTTTGTGAGTTAGTACAAACATGGCCGAAAATTCTAATTCGCAGAAGAAATTAAAATAGACGATAAATTCTTTTTTTTCTTAGTAGATTTTAAACAACTTTTTTTTTTATACTAGACACTAGATAAATTTCTAGTATTCTTTTTTATCCAAGGAACTGTATAAACAATTGCAAAACAGTAAAAAAAAGAAACTGTTAAAACTTTTACACACACACACACACACATATATATATATATATATATATATATATATATATATATATATATATATTGTGTGTATGTGTAAAAGTTTCAACAGTTTGTTTTCTATATATATGTATTAATACAAATAAAATACAAAATCACCTCATATGAGGAATAAGCTTATTTCAACCGGCGAAAATATAATTTGTCAGTCTTATTCAACCCCGGTATAGACTGAGTTCGTGACGGAAATAGAAAATGCTAGGATCCACTTGGATTATATACCAACGGATTTATTACCTTTACTATATATATATATATATATATATATATCGTATAATGAGTGTTGGTGTTAATTCTCTGTTAGGGTTAGCCGTGATCCCCTGAAGACTGCATTGTGCATGAAACTCAGTGTTATGCTACCGACGAGGAAAAATGTATATATATATATTTTTTTTCTGTTTATACGTTATTTTTATAGATACAATTTATTTAAGTCAATACTCTCTTTTTAATTAAACAATATTTACCAGCCTGAATATATATATATATATATATATTCGGGCAGCAACCTTTCTTTCAAACGCATGTTTCGTTGCATATGACAGACAAGAAAAATTTGATGCGTTTTTTTAGTATTCTTAAATTTTTCCGTTTTAGGTAATGAAGAATAAAAATTGTCTATCTTGTCTATTTTCCCAAGCGCCTTTGGACACTTTTTAGCCATTTTCAAGGGGTTTGTTGTTAATTTCTTTTCATGGTTGACTTTTAAGATGTAATTGTGTGGTGCCGATTGAATGGTAGTAGAGCTTATTGCGATCCCCGGGAAAGGAACTTGGTTGGAATTCGAGGTGACGTCCTTCTATTTTTTTTAAAAAAAAAACCTTTAGCACATTATTTCCGTTGTTAAATAGTGTTGTCAGATGTTTTATGTAGAGTGCTTCTCTCACAGCGATATGTTTTCGGCTGCGAGATTTATAACGGTGATCGTGTTATCAACTATAATGATACATACATACATATATATATATATATATATATATATAATAAAAAACTTAAACACTAATATTCCATTTTCATAATTTATTCCATTGGAATCGTAAATACGATCAAATCATCAGACCTACAAATTCAAAATGAAAACAGAAAAAAAAAAAAATTTTTTTTTTTTTTCTGTTTTCATTTTGAATTTGTAGGTCTGATGATTTGATCGTATTTACGATTCCATGGAATAAATTTAACCATGGAATATTAGTTTTTAGCCTTTTATTATATCCTTACTCTGTCCTAGACATTGAGTTCTACCTGGATCCTTCCTCTTGGAAAATTTTTCTGAAAATATACATGTATGGGAATTTTTTTAGATATATTTTTCATATGTATGTATATTTTCCACTATTATCTATATATATATATATATATATATATATATATATATATATATAAAAGAGAACATATATATATATATAAATAAAAATGAACATTGAAGTCTATATATATAAATATAAAAATGAACATTGAAGTCTATATATATAAATATAACAATGAACATCTCTCTCTCTCTCTCTCTCTCTCTATATATATATATATATATATATATATATATATACTTTTACTTTAAAGAACTCAGCAACATATAATAACTACGACAATGGTTTTCCAAACAATGTAGTTGATGAAGAAATAAAATTAAGATTATCTAAAATGAATAATAAAATTACACAAAATAATTATGATAAAACATAATAAATGTATTCTATTTCAACGAAATTCATTGAAATTATAAACGAAACGAAATAGACATGAATAATCTAATACATAGATTAATATCATCTGATGATATTGATAAACTGTGGCAGCTGTAGGAAAGCTAAAACCATCTTGAAAGGCAAGAACATCTGCCTGAAATCAAATACCATACTTTTGCGTGCGTCGGCCTTCATTGTCATTCTGTATTCCTACGAATTTGAGGCATTAACAGCAGAATTACAGCAAATAATCACATAACATTTAGAAACAAGAAAAGCATTCAATTTTTGTCTGATTTCTGGGATGAGAAATTATCATTATTTACATTGGGACTATTGTCTTTATCGTTGTTGTTATTACAACGTCTCGGCCGTTGTGCCCTTAGGCATTCTTCAGGGAATTTCGAACTGAACCCTTTATTTAATCTTGTAGTGGGCCGTGGCGGTTACAACTTGTAGTGGGAATGGCGGTTGCCACTTGTTGAGGGTTCATGGCGTGGCTGTTAGCTGTTGTTAGAAGTCAGACGTAGACGAAACGCGAGTAAGGTTCACATACTCCTGCCCGCCGAGCCCAACTACATAAAAGGGTTGGACTTTGATTAAGTCCAAAGAAGAAGGCAAAGAAAGCAAACAAAACACAAGACCGATAAGATATGTATATACAAATATATATTAATAACAAGTTACAATACATGGAAACAGTACAAAGGACGAAGTTTGTGTGAATATTCTGTATGTGCGTGCGTGTGTGAATATTCTGTATGTGCGTGCGGATTGTGCTTAGCGTGTTTCCACGCTATCCCTTGTTAGCGACTACAATCGAGGTTGATAGCTGAAATCCTGAAGGAAAAAAAAAGAGATAGAGGCGAAGAGTCAGCGGCTATTTATAGCCAGGGAAGAGAGACCCCTGGTGAAAGGGTTAACGGACTGAAGGAGGAGTTAACTCCGACAATCTACAGGAGTAGATTGTTCTCGTTTCGTTGTCCATATTCAAAGGATATCTTGTCTTGTTTGTGCAGCACATGTTATGTAACAAAATTCCCGAACGAACGCTCACCGCTATAAACTCTCTATTTCCGATATTGAGCACTAGTAAATCGTCAATAACACACATTGACGCAATCAGTTGTCGATTACTTGTAGGATTAATTCATTAAGGTTCAGAGTCTCTTTTAATGTTTAAAATGTTTTTCTTAGCGATAAAGTTTGTAAATTTAGGAGACAGATGTTCAAAACTGAGCACTTGTTCTACTTCAATTGCACCTTGTCTATTTGATCGTATGCCATAAAAGAAATCACCATATTGATACATGTTTAAATCCAATCTAAAATTAAAAATTCTTGAAGCTATATACATAAAACAGTTGAAACCTAACCTGAACAAAATAAACTACGAAATCTCCACAAATATTCTTAAATGTCTATAATTGATAACAGAAGCCATTGGTTTATACCAACGGCTTCCCATACTTAATACTTCTCGTTTTCACTCTCGCGTGGTCATGTGTGACGTCACGAGCTGCGACGCGATTTTCGCTTCCGCGTCTCGCATACACGAGTTTGTCGTTGCTTTGAAATTTTTCATGCAACAAAAACAGACTATCATTATTGTTTCGTCCGTGTATTATTTGATATATTGAAATGTAATTGTCATCTTTGATAATGGCTTATGTAAGCCGAAAGCTTAGAGTGGATTTAAGCATGTATCAATATGGTGATTTCCTTTCGTCTTTCAATGATAATGTTATTAAGCTTATCAGACAATATGAAAGGAACTTACTTAAAATAAATAGACAAAACTTGTCTATATTACTTAACGAAACATGCATCAATATATATATATATATATATATATATATATATATATATATATATATATATCACTGATTGAGTGCTGGTATTAATAAAATAGTACTCGATGTAATATAGCAGAGATATATATTATATATAAATAAATATAAATTTATGGCCGTTTTTATAGTTGATATTATTGGGAGTTGGAGTCTTCTTTTTTATTGTAAACACTTCAATCATTTTGACAGTTTTCTACCTTTAGATGCATTTAAATCACTCATTGCGTCAGGTTCAGCTCAATTTAATAAATAAAGGCATAAGATATTGAAACCTTAGAAGACGATTTTATCTTTTTCCTGATCTTTGTTTGCAAAAAATTGTTTTAAAAGGGTAAACAATAAACTACGCTTTACTCCCCTTTGTCCCTCTGTTAATGTCAATTTTCTATTTTCGAAGAATTCCAGAATGATAAATGATATCTGAATCTCGTTTTAGCTTCATCATGACGTCACTTCCGTTCTCGCTAAACAACTGTGTTTATCTTGTTGTTCTGTCCTCGCTTCTGGCCGGTTGCGTTTTGTCAGAGATCGAGTGCAACCACACCATCACTAAACACGCCTGGTTCGACATTTTCATCAAAGATTACGATGGCCCAGGTGAAGATTTTCACGGAAGATTCGTGATTGGACTCTTTGGAGACGCAGCACCTGCCACCGTACTCAACTTCGCTTCCATTGCCAAGGGTTATAAACATGACAAGGTAGGTAATAAAATCACAATGCAATTATCGAGAACTTATCATACGTTATATATTAAACACATTTTCACACACGCACCCACACACATAAACAGATATATATCATATAGGTACCTCCAATAAATCCATATAAATATATATATATATATATATATATATATATATATATATATATACAGGGGTTGGACAAAATAATTGGAACAGTTGCAAAATCCTCACTCCTATATTTCAAAGACCTATTATATTAAGAACTTTAACTAAAACTTCGTAATTGCAGGTTATATATACTGTAAATACATTTATTTATCTAATTTACTGTCTTTGTCATATTTATTTTTAGAATTTAGTAAAATTTAAGCTAAATTCGAAAAAGAGCAAATTGTTGGAGCATGCATGACAGGAGCCTCGATCACTTAGGTTGCTGAACTGTTTTTTTTTCAAGAGCTACCGTATCAAGAACACTGATGCAATTCGAGAAACAGGGTAAGACCTCTAGCAACCGTAGCAATTCGGACAGGACTTGCAAAATTACTGACAGGGACTGACGTGCATTGAAACGCAATGTGGCAAAAAGTCATTGGACAAATGCGGCCAAAGTAACTGCGGAGTTGAATAACCATCTGAATAGTTCAGTTTCTACTAAAACTGTTCACCGTGAGCTCCATAAGGCTGCATATCATGGAAAAGCTGCTGTGAGGAAACCTCTTCTCTCCACTCGCAACATTCAAAAGAGGTTGAAGTGGTGCAGAGATCACAATGCCTGGTCTGCAGACCAATGAAAGCAAGTCATATTTTCAAACAAGTCCAGTTTTTCTCTTTTCCCAACTTCAGGGCGAGTTTATATAGGGAGGCAGCCCAAAGAAGCTTATACCCTGACTGCCTTCTTCCAACAGTGAAGCATAGAGGTGGATCAGTGATAGTTTGGGCTACCATATCATGGAAATGTCTCAGTCCAATAGTTGCCCTGCATGGTAGAATCAACAGCAAAGATTGTCTGAACATTTTTGGAGATCATGTTCATTCAATGGCCAAGAGTTTATTCCCTGATGGTGAATGCATCTTTCAAGACGATAATGCTCCAATACATACCACTCGAATGGTTAAGAATTGGTATGAAGAGCATGAAAGTGAGCTAGAATACACGGAGTGGCCTCCCCAATCTCAAGATATCAATATTATTGAACATTTGTGGTGCATTTTGGAGCAACAAGTTAGGAGCCGCTATCCTCCACTGTCGTGTCGTAAAGAGCGGGAGAAGGTTTTAATGGAAGAATGACTGAAAATTCCTCTGGATGAAGTCAGGAAGCTGTATTAAAGCTGTCTATGAGGCTAAAGGAGGACCAACTCCATATTAAATTTTCTTTGAATTTAACAAGTGTTCCAATTATTTTGTCCAACCCCTATATAAGTTATTTTTCAGTCATTTTCTCGGTATACTATGACTGCTTTCCTTTAGGCCTGTCTCCCTGCTATGCTGGTCCGAGATGTTTTGTCAGGCGTTGGGAGGGGGGTGAATTTTTTCTAGAATGGTTGTCCTATCAAGGTTAAATAGCACAGTCTTCCCTACCATCTTACTCATATCTGGGCGATGGAAAAGAAAACCTGTATTCATGTCATTCTCAAGTCGTCATTATTGATTAAAACTGAAGGAAATTTGGCGGAATTAAAAAAAAATAAAAGTTCTTTCTTTTTCCTTTCTTTCAGTGGTGAAATTCACAATCTCTAAAGAGTAATGCAAAAGCCATATTGTAATTTTTTAGTGGCCGATATTTTACACTTTGCATCAACTGATTGATTTCTACATTGGAATTCATTGCTTTGTAAGCAATTATTGTTTTTCAGAATGATCCTGGTCTTTGTCCACGAATTGCTTGTTACCCGGTGTAACGTTTCATTGCTATATTTTGGAAGTCTTGTCATAATGTGTATCAGTTACTCCATCGGTGTGAATATTAATTTGTACCAGGTTGCTAAGTTCCTAGTAGGTACAAGGCAGAAGTAAAAGTGTACCTCGTGAGAATCCAAATCGATTTACAACTTGATAACCCCCCGTTGATGACAAGTGTCTAAATGTAGATATTTGTTAAGCTCAAATTAGTTAAACACATGGCTACAGTTAGCGAGGCAGCGAGTGAGAGACAATATCAATACAGAGATAGATTATATTAAAGTTTAGTTCACTTTTCAACAATTCTACTCATCAACGCTTTACGGCAGGCGCCCCAATATACGTCGATGTATATCTTCAAGGATTTTGGCTATGTTCTTTAGGTTTTAACATTTAACGAGTTGGAAATAATTATAAAAGTCAAAACTAATCACATATTTGTCTAAAACAAATATTAGGTCGATCGATATTTATTAACTTTAGTCTAAATAGGAAGATAGTGTTGCAAAATATTCTTATTGAGAATCAGCATTCAACATGTCATCTTTTGCCTGGACTGGAAAATAAACCGCTGGCACTGTTAATAATTGTCCCAAACACAAAAATACCTATTTTCAAAGGAGTTTTGGTTTTCATTTGGCAACCTTGGACCTTCATGCTCGCCAAAAAAAAAAAAAAAAAAAGCCCCCAAAACCTCGGAGTTTCAAAAGGACGGTTTTTCCTTTGACACTGCTATTTTTTTTTATTATCTTCACTCCTCGCCAATGTTTTTGTCTTAAAATGCGACGATTAGAACTTTAATAAAACCTAAACATATGATGAAAATGAATTTATACGTTTTTTTTTTGTTCTTGAGAATGTACAGCAAAATATTTAAACCCTATTTATTTATTAGATTTCCTATAACAAGAATAATTTAATATTTAAAACATTCTTAAAAAAAACAATTGTATTAAAACTAATGTAAAGCAATATTTATCATTTATCAATTTATAAATAAATAGGAAAAAAATTATTGATAAATTTATGAACATTTACTAAATTATTAAAATATGTGAACTAACTCTAAAGAAATCCAAGTTCGAATCCATTGGCAATTAGCGGATGTTTTGCCAATCATTCCAATACATAATCTAATAGTGTTTATTATTTTTGTTTTCAATTCTCAAGAACAAAGAAATTGTATAAATTCACTTTCATATGTTTAGGTTTTAGTAAAATTCTAATGCTTGCTTTTTAAAACAGTAAACATTACCGAGGAGTGAAGGTAATTAAAATAAAAGCGGTGTCAAGGGAAAAACCGTCCTTTTTGAAATTCCGTTTATTTTTTTTTCAGGCACGAAGGACCAAGATTGCCAATTCCAGTTGATTATGTGATTTCAAAAATGTTCTATTTAAAGATTCTCTATTGAGTGAATGACACATTTCCAAAGTCAGCAATCCTACATCGTGTTCCTGAATAGCAGGTTGGCATTCTGTACTTGAAAGGGGATTTTTCCCGAGAAATGCTTGTTGAAAAGTGAACTAAACTTTAATATAATCTATTATTAGACTAGTGGTTCGTCTACAAAAGAGTTGTTCTTTTTTCTTTCGTTAAATATATTTATATTTAAAACAAATTATAAAATTGAATTCAATAATCGTGTTCCTCTATCGATTTGCGAATGTACACTTTTCATTTCTTTTTGGAATTAGTATTTTATATTAAAATAACAGTAGTATTTATAATGTATTTTATATTAAATTTTGGAATTTCAATTTCTTTTTGTAGTTGGTATTTTATATTTCTTATTCTTCTAAATTGAAATTGTTGATTAATGAATCAGTTTATTAAATAATTTAAATAGGTTTTGCAAAAGTATTATCAAAACTTATTGGATTATCGTTTTTATTTTGTTGAAAAGACTCACTTCTCAGCAGCAGAATTCTGACATTAAACTCAAAAGAATTTAAAGTCTCTGGCATCCCAGTGTTCACTTCGCAATCCAATCATTCTTAACAAATTACAGTGCTGTTCGATAAAAGTGACTCACCTGATTTTTTTTACTAAAAATGTTTTTTGTCTATTGTTTTTGGGGTCAAAATAATTTTTAATCTTACTAATATAAAGACCTCTTCCCGACCATCTAGGAAAAAAGTTTATTCACCCTAAGGTATTCTATTGATAATTATAAATTTGGATATAATTGAGATTCAGGAAAAAACTCTGTGCAAAGAAAGTGACTCAGATATCGCATTCTAATGATTAAACTGGTAAATTTAAGGAGCTTTTGACAAAATATTGAAAACTATTTTACAATACTCTCAGAACAATATTCTAGAGAATTCTAGAACAGCTTAAATTAAATTCTAGAAAGCCTCATACAGTATAAAAACAGCTTGAAATAGCCACTCAGAACCACTTAAGGCATCTATTATTGCCCTTTCAAAAGCAGGCAAGTCTACGAGAGCAATTTCAGAAATTGCTATAAACTCGCAATCAACTGTCTCCCGAGTACTTAGGGCACATAATGATGCCACTTTTGCTCCAAGGAAGGAAACGACGGGACGAAAGAAAAAGATTGATGATAGAACTGGCAGGGTAATCAAGAGAGAAGTTGCGAAGAATAGGACTATAACTAGCCAAGAATTTGCAGCCAGTCTAAGCGAAGAGCAAGGTGTTAGTCTTGCCTCTTCAACAGTCCGTCAGAACAAGGTTACAAATCTTGTTAAAACAAGGCTACAAATCTTGTACACAAAGTCGCTAATAAGCAAAACCAACAAAGCCAAGAGACTTGAATGGGCTCACTATTACAAAAATTGACCGTAGAAGACTGGAAGAATGTTCTCTTATTCGATGAAACGAAAGTTGAGCTAAATTCAAAGGATAAGGTGAGTCACTTTTATCGAACAGCACTGTATATAATAAGAGTTGAGTTGAACAGTCACAATTCTAGATCCTTTCACATTAATGCGGGGGTCCCCCAAGGCGCTATACTTAGACTGACGTTGTTATCTTCATCAATGATCTCCTCGATGTCATCAGTTCTCAACTAGGTATATATGCTGATGGCACAACGATCTACACTATTTACATTATTCGGACTATTGTCCTCATCTTTGTTGCTATAACGTT